TAGAGATCGCCATTGAAGTACCTAGGGGTACTCTCTCAACACTTATCTGTGTATGAGTAGGGAGAGACCACTGACCGTGCCTTAGATCCAACGACGAGGAATCAAGAGGTGAATGATCGCAACTTCTCAGTGAGAGACACTGCATTCGGATGCGAAAAACAGAAAGAGTGAGCAGATGCCACGCTGGCCTATTTATACCCGGATGTCTGGGGCGTGGCCAGCTATGCAAATCCTGCACACCCAATTTCATTGGCCTTTTCTCAAAGATGTGGTGTTTGGGCTCCCAAGAGCGAACCCTAGTGTCGTACACTCGACACAACGTCGGAGTGAACGACAGAAAGAGAACTATAGTATTTGTAAAAATTGAGAAAATGGAATGAGATTATTTGCTTTCTATACACTGTAAATAAGTAAATAAAATCCTGTTGAATTTACTGTAAAAAAGGCAGCTGTGGTTTTGAAAAACCATACAAAAATTATGGTCATAAAATTTCAGTGACTTTATATTAAATAATAAGTGTATACTGTTATTTCCTGGCTATCACAATTTTAATAAATTAATTTTCTTATTGTGAATAAAATATCATTAGACAACAGTCTTATGCAAAATATTCCAAATAATATGATATCCAAATGATAAACATGATATTTTATATTATTATATATTACAGAATTTTGATCATTAAGATTATTTTATTATTTTTGTTTTACTACAATTATAGACATTAAGTTAAAAATTATTAAGTTGTTATGATTATGAATACAGTTGAGGAGGTCAATGCACTGTAAAAAATATGTCCATTAACATTATCCATTAATTTTACAGACATTTCTGTTAACTCTAAAACACAACACAGTGCAGTGTAAAATTCAAAATACTGGTAAAACACCTGTAAAACAATAAATACAGAATAAGAATCCTTCAAATTATATAAGCCCTATTTTTATAGTTTTTTTTTAGAGTGTACTTTGAGGGTCAGGCCAAAATCTCCATTTTAATACGATACTGTAAGTACAGACATTTGATGCAATTAGCTCATTTTATGCTAAGTAAAAAGTAAATATTATTATGTTAAATAATAATTTATCAAACCATATCTAAAAGGGTTAAAAATTAGTACTTTAAAAGAAATCGTGGGACAGCGAAGTGTACTGTATTTGTGGAAAGTGACTGCTTGTTCCACTCAAAGGAGTTTACTTGACTTTCTGAATCACTCTCACACACGTGCTCATATATGTGGCCTGAATCTGCTGGTATGGTTTGAGTTGAGCCTGTGCGATACAGCATGCAGTCTTCCGGAAGCCATTATCCGTATGGCCATATGTCTCTGTGTTTATGTGTGTGTTTTATGAGTGGTTTGTGTAGGTTGCTGGGGTTTGCTGCAGCATATTTATATTCTGTTTTGTGGAACATTTTCCAGACACTGTGGTCGACATGAGGCGACCCAACCCCCCCCATCCGTCTGCGGCTCTGGAGTTTTATCATGAAAACATGAAAACTGACACGTACAGGTGGAGATGTTTAGACCATCTCTCTCTGCGATCTTTTCGTCATCACTATGGGATCTCTTAAAGAAATGCATGTGTCTCTTAGCATCTTGGAAAATGACGAGGTGACGTGAACCAAAATGTCATGTACAAGTGTTTTTGTCAGAAATGTCAGTGTTATTAAGTTGCGGCATTCCAGTAAAGTTATTTCTTGAACGTAAATTTGGTGTGTCTCAGCATAAATAGCGGAAAGACAGGATGTGCGATGAAGTAATGTGGGATAAAGCAGAAGGGAGCGGCTCTCTGACATAAGGTCTGCTTGGTACAGAAGTTTCCGGAAAGCCTCTTAAACAGTCATGTGCTTGAATCGGCTCACGCTCCAGGGCTTCCGCCACACGTTTTTGGCTCTGCCAACATTCAGGGCATTGTTTTGGTATTAATCTCTCTTTATCGAACCCTCACCCTTTTTCTCTAGCTATCTGTGCTCTGTCTTGATAGCTTTTCAGATGTATGTTTATTTATTGACTTGCCTCTTGCTTTATTGGTTTTTATCTCTAATGTAAACTTTGTATAAGTCTTCCACCCTTTATTGCCCAAATCTCTGAGCTCCGACGACTCATATTTGGTCTTTATAGTGTTCCAAATATTCCACCAAATTTAGGTAGTTGTGACACTATGAGGCTTTTGGAGCGGACTGGGTTTGACATCAGATAATTTGATACATTGGTGTGCAGTCTGACACAAGTTCATCTATTGGATGCAATCCAGCCTAACTTGAAGAATTGAAGTGCTATTAATGCTTTTTATGCTAATTTTGGTACAATGAATTTTAATTGCTTAATGTCTTCAGTGAACAGTTTGTACCAGACAAAATAAACATCACGTGTGTTAAAATTTGATTGTACAACCATAGAAACATGAGAAAAAAGGAAAGATAACAATGCTTGCCATTTTTACTGTTTCTTCTCCTTGGTTATTACCTACCTTGAAACAGTCACAGAGTTGTTTTGTATTTGTTGGGATGTTGTGCCTTTATTTTTGTGAAGACAGTTTGAAAAGAGATAGGAATGAGAGGCGAACAGGATTGGGGCAGGATCTCAAGCCAACTCAGTATACGCTGTAGCACAGCCACAAGGTAGTGTCTAGTTAAAGCAATAATCTCTGGGAATCTGTGGTTTACAGTGATTTTAGAACATGTAGTTCTTCAGCAATGTTTAGCAGATTGATTGCCACTCAACACACAGAAGCAGCAACGCACAGATGTAGCAGTGCAGTAAAACTGATGTGTGTTTATTGAGTATTTTACAACATCTTCAAATGTGCTCAGCCTATCATAATCAAGAACCGTTTTGTTTTATAAACTTATCTTGATGACACAGAGACCAGGAGAGGAAGAGCCAGAGGGTGGTAATCAAAATCGGAATGATCTATAAAAGGTGCACATCGACAGTAGAATCCGACTGCTTGTGTGGTGCAAGTGTCAAAGACGTCCATCTAGCGCAATGACCTTGGCAAATTGGCTCCAGTTAGTCTCAAAATGATTATATTAACACCATTTGAATAAAACATGCTTAAAAAGTGCTAAAAAATACACAGTTACACTGAGTTTATATTTATAGTTTATATATTTTTTTAATGCAACATGATTTTGCCTTGGATAGGGGGCCTTCAAGTATTGTCTTGGACAAAGGAGTCAAAAAGGTTGTAAACTACTGGACTCAGGTCAGGTTTACATAGAAAAACAATTAAAAAGCAGTGCACTGGAACACAAAAATGTGTTCAGTGTGGACCAGCCCTAACACTGGATCTTAACCAGGTGTAAAAACAAGTCTTACAAGAGGGTTTTCTCCTAGCTGTGACCATTACGATTGCAAGTGACAGGACATTTTGTCAGTTGTTTAGTTTCTTTTTCTGGAGTGTCATGCCGGGTAAGTCTGAAATTCCACTCCAAACATCAAATATGTTCTGATTGTCTGTGATTGTCACACAACATTTTTGCCTTCAGTGTGGACAGAAATATGACTTATTTCATAGCTGTAAACCTGACTGATCAGGACAGATGCCAGATCACTTGTCATATTATCAGATGGCCTTCGTTTTGAACTCCAGAACTCATTCTTGAAATGGCACGCTGTCTGCAGATCGCAGCTTTAAACAAACTCCACTACTAATAAAATAAAGTTTCAAGATGTAAACACAGACGTTAGTTTGTTAGCCTCAAAGTATTTTCATATGAAGCTGTCTCAAGAAATGAGAGCTAGAGTCATAAGAGCGTTTGTTTTCCTTCAGTGTAGAGGGAAGGTTGTGTCACAAATGGAATTTCTTACCCTCCTTCCACTGAGACCTACAATTTTACTTGGAATTACAATGAGAGCGAAGCCAGGTTCCTCAGCCCACTGTTTCTGTGGTTTGTCTCTGTGGCGTTCCTCTATTCTTGCATTGTTCAGACAGCAGCTGCTCTAAGACCCATTCGTCTTCCTCAACCTTGATTTGTACACTTGCTCTTTTCCCCTACTTTTGGCGTTTTTGATCTGTGTTTTTAATCACTGGCTTTCAGTCCAGGCAGCTGGAAACGTTTAAGCAGGACTCGGCTCTTAAATAAACAACACCTTTGGGGATACAGCCCTTGATTCCGGTAAACGTCTGGCCCTTGCACAATCGCCAATTTTCCTTTGTAGAGGCCAACACTGTCTCTGTCTCCACCCCTCAGCGTTCAATCGCTCCATCTGTCTGGATTTTCCTGCATCTCCCGCACCATTTTACCCAACAGTCACTGATTCTATGTCTTCCTGTGCCACGTTTTTACAGCCACTCAATGTTCAAATGAGCAACATCCCATTAAAAGATATGGTATGTCTGGGGTTAAAGTTGGGGAGGTTCAGATACATTGAGACTTTTGACATTTTAAGGTCAGAATGGGGTGTATTGAGGAGGTGGGAAGCTGCAAAAGAGCAAAAACCCATGGTTAGCCACAGCTGTTAAAACAACTCTTTTGGAAATTGTGTAACATGCGCACATGCTTCCACAGAGTCCCCTGACTCAGCTATTTCAAATAGACAGAGCGGCATTGTAGAAGTGAAAAAGAGAAATGTGTATGCGAGACCACTGTATTATTATTAGCACTATTTTAAAACAGATTCACAGAGTCATCAAAGTTTTAGATTTTTGTCTGTGGACTCAATCTTGACTCAGACTCAAGTGAGCTAGTCTCGTATCTTGTGACAAATCATAAGGCAACTTTATTTTAATGTTTTAAATTGAATGCAGGTGTTGGAAATGTTCTTTGTTTGTTCTGCAAATGCTAAATAGTTTACAGTCTTATTTTAGAATAATTTCAAATTAGTCCTCACAATTTAAACTGAGATACTTATTTGAACTGGACTGTATGTTAAATTTATAGTATTCAATAGAGATTTTACTCACAATAAGCAAAACGGTATATTACACATGAACACAAAACACATAGTTTCTTTGTTTTACCTACATTTCTCCCCATTCCTTGTTCCTTACAGATGTAGAACAGATGGCAATAGACTGGCTCACAGGAAACTTCTACTTTGTTGATGACGTGGATGATCGAATCTTTGTATGTGATAAAGATGGAGCCACATGTGTAACACTGTTGGATCAAGAACTCTACAACCCTAAAGGCATTGCTCTGGACCCAACTATGGGGTATGCGCATGTTCAAACTCACACTTCATGTATACAACTAGCTAGCTGAATATTTGTAGTATTTGCTAAATGGTCAAATGAGGTATACATCAGGTTTACTTGGGTATAACCTTCCTCAACATTACCTTCAACAGAAAGGTTTTCTTCACTGACTACGGGCAGATCCCAAAGGTGGAACGTTGTGACATGGATGGACAGAACCGAACAAAGTTGGTGGACAGTAAAATTGTCTTCCCGCATGGTATCACCCTGGACTTGGTCAGCAGATTGGTCTACTGGGCTGATGCTTATCTGGACTACATCGAGGTAGTGGACTATGAGGGCAAAAACAGACACACCATCATTCAAGGACTGTTGGTAAGGAGCAAATACCAAGATCATCTTAAGATGTCCTTAAATATCCTGACATGTCCTAAAAAGTGACTCTTATAAGTTGAAAAAAAAAGTATTACTCGTTATTGTGCAATAATGTGTTTTGCTCAAGAACTAATTTCCCCATTGTTTTGAATCATTTAAAAGACAGTGAGTTGCTAAATATAACATTTAACAATGGTCAACTTCCCTTTATTACTGCTCTACAAATGATGTTTTATTAACAAAGTTTGGGAGGGGCACGTTCAGATAATTAACCTAATTAATACGAGAGGAGCACAATTCACAAGGTAAAAGCTGTATATATACACAGCAGACTTACCTCTGTTCCTTGACAGTTTTTCAGCATCCCTCCACCACCCCATCTCCTCACTTACAACTATTCCTATCTTAAGTACTGTGGGTTTGGGACAAAATTCCAAGATCAGAGTCCTCCCCTCGGACAGCACGCCAAATACGCATAACCTTTACTTTGTTTATTATATGTAAGTGTGAAATCGTGAACCATTATTTTGTAGATAGCATGAACATGATTTTATATTTCTCAAAAGTTCAAGTCAACAGATAAAGATCCCATGCATTTATCCCAAACATTTATGTAGAACATTTAAAATAGAAACTTACATTTTCTGTAAAGCTGCTTTGCAACGATTTGTATCATAAAAGCGCTATACAAATAGGCTTGAATTGAATTGAAAATTGAATTTATCTCTATGATCCATCTATTCTATTCATCAACCAATCACCTGTTAGTCTACTCATCTATTTAATGTTTATTTATAAAGCACATTTAAAAGCAACAGATGTTGCACAGAATTCTGTAAAATAAAGAAAAATGCAGTGCTATCCATCCAAACATTTACCACTCATCCATCCAAACATCTGTCCACACATTCATCCTATTGCACTTCAGTCTCTTCATACTCTCTTCTCAACTTGACAGTCACCACTGATAAGCTACTACTAAATATAATGTAGAAACTTTAAAATAGAAACTTACATTTTCTGTAAAGCTGCTTTGCAACGATTTGTATCATAAAAGCGCTATACAAATAGGCTTGAATTGAATTGAAAATTGAATTTATCTCTATGATCCATCTATTCTATTCATCAACCAATCACCTGTTAGTCTACTCATCTATTTAATGTTTATTTATAAAGCACATTTAAAAGCAACAGATGTTGCACAGAATTCTGTAAAATAAAGAAAAATGCAGTGCTATCCATCCAAACATTTACCACTCATCCATCCAAACATCTGTCCACACATTCATCCTATTGCACTTCAGTCTCTTCATACTCTCTTCAGACATGTGTCCAAATTTCCATTCATTCATTCATTCATTCATTCATTCACCATCCATCCATCCATCCATCCATCCATCCATCCATCCATCCATCTATCCATACATCCATCCATCCATCCATCCATCTATCCATCCATCCATCCATCCATCCGTCAATTCATCCATCTGCCCATTATCTACTTAAACGTCTATCTGTTCAGTAATCTGAATTGTCCTACTAAATATCCATCCATCATTCCAACCATCCAAACATCTACCTGTTAATTAATCTGACCATCTATTCAGTTTTCCATCCGTCCATCCATCCATCCTAATGTCCATCATCCACCTTAAAATCCACCCAGTTATCTGTCAGTCTATTCATTTGTCCATCCATCTGTCCATCCATCCAAAATTTGCCCGTCATCCATTCATCCATGCTAACGTCCATCAGTTCAAAAGTCCATCTCTCCATCTCTCCATCCATCCATCCAGTCCAAATGTCCATCCATCCTAATGTCCATCATCCATCATCCACCTTAAGACCTGTTCAGTAATCTGTCCACCCATCTGTCCTCCCATCCGTCCCCCATCCATCTATTCATTTGTCCACCCATCTGTCCATCCATCCATCCATCCATCCATTCATCATACCTCATTGTGTTGAGAGAGTCACTTATATTGGATAGCTATATGTACTGTAAAAAATGCTTTAGTAGGTGAAAGAGACAGTGGTGTTAAAGCTGTTTCTGTCAATGCATTAGCCTGATTCCTTCCTCTCTGCTTGAGTTATGGCTATCATTTAGCTGCTCAGCCCAAGGCTAATTGGTGTGTTTATGTGCGTGTCTTGCTCACTCAAGCCAGCAAAGCAAACACAACTTCCCAAATAATATAACTAATTGAATAATGATTTTTTTTCTCAGATTGAGCATCTTTATGGGCTCACAGTGTTTGAGAACTATCTATATGCCACAAACTCCGACAATGCCAACATGCAGCCTAAGACCAGCGTGATCCGCGTCAATCGATTCAACAGTTCAGATTATAAGGTGGTCACCAGTGTCGACAAGGGAGGAGCTCTACATGTTTACCACCAGAGACGCCAACCCCCTGGTATTAATCTGTTTCTTATCTAATGCTGTTGAATACATAGATTGAACTAGTATACAGTAGTATACTTGAATAAACTGTTTAAAATGCAACCATTACACTGCAGTCTAGCTCCACCTCAGCTCCAGCTCAGTCTAACTCTCCTGTTCTTCTTCTTCAGTGCGGAGTCACGCCTGTGAGCCAGATCAGTTTGGAAAAGCTGGAGGTTGTTCAGACATCTGTCTGTTGGGCAACAGCCACAAGAGCCGGACGTGTCGCTGTCGGTCTGGCTTTAGCCTGGGCAACGATGGCAAATCGTGCAAGAGTGAGTGACATTATAATAGATTCTACTCTATCAATTGATTCACCAAAATAGTTTAACTTAGTTTTGCCTAACTTAGAATTTTATTTAAATGAGAGTTAAACTGCAGAGTTCAGTGTTTATTAATTACGTTTTTAAACTTGTTGCTGTAGAAAGGTGACTATGGCATTATTGTATAGATTTTTATTTAACTCCGAATTTACTACGAAAAGTATTATGGTTTACTATGATATTACCATATTTTTTTGGAGATGTGTCATGGTGAAGCCATAGTGTTCTTCATGATATTTTAATGTTGTTACATAAAAATGATGTTAATTCTTAAATCCGATTGGACATGGAATATGTTCCACTTGCCCTGTATCTTGCTCTCTTATTGGCTGTAGGTCGTCACAGATGTTATTTCCAGTCAAAACACATTTCACTCTGCAGGGGTGTATTCCAGAAAGCAAGGTCAACTTACCGTCACATATACCCTGAACTCTTGGTTGATTAACCCAAACCTTGCTTACTTGAGGTATACTGGTTCCCAAAACGTGTCTGGGAGTAAGTTCAGTCAACTCAGAGGTGCATATCTCCACCTAGTTGGTGGTTGTGCAGTCATTTTTCATATTTTCTTTTTTAATATTTAGTAACTGAGAATAATAATTTGTATATGTACTAGGGCTGTCAGTTGATTAAAATTACATGATGTGTCAATTAATTAATTGAATTAATTGCAAAATAAATGTTACTGTGAAAATACACACAAAAGAATATTTAAAGCTATTTTTGTGTTAAATGAGAAAATATCAAGTTGACATTACAAATTGTAGCTTTAGAAAGAAATATTTTATTTGATTTAACATAAATTGTTAAAAAATCTACAACGGCCTAACATAAACTATGGAACATAAAAGAAGATAATTTGAGAAACATCTCAGTATTTTTTACAATGAAAGTCATTGGTAACCAAAACAGCTTTGTTACCAACAGTCTTCAAAATACCTTCTTTTGTGTTCCACAAAAGAAAGGTTTGAAATGAGAGGGTGAGTAAGGGTGTATTCACACCTGTCTTGTTTGGTTCGATTGAATCAAACTCAAGTTCGTTTCCCCCCTTGGTGCGGATCTTTTGGGCAGGTGTGAATACAGCAATCGCACTCAGGTGCTGAACAAACAACCGTACCGAGACACAGCTGAAGAGGTGGTCTCGGTCCACTTCCAAGCGAATTCTGGTACGATTGAATGGATGAACCAATGAATGGATGACCTTAGCACACGTGTTGTTTTGTTTACAATTTCTGATTCACTTGCAAAAAGAGCAGTGTGAAAGCGAACCGCACTAAACAAAAAAAATCAACATTGTATTTGGTCCGGACCAAAGCAAGTGAACTAGCGGACTTTCCTGGTGTGAATACACCCTAAATGACAGAATTTAAATTTTTTGGGTGAACTATCCTTTTAATGTCTTTATTATTATTATTTTTGAATGAAATTATACTCTTAATAAGAAACTAAAGCTGCCACCAGGTGGCGGTAAATAAAATAGTCATTCATTGATTCATTCGATTCATTCAAACGGGTGATTCATTCAGGAATTAAGTAAATGGCTCTGTTAATAGAGACAGAGCGACACGTGTCATAATCTGAAAACCACGCCCACCGGGGGGGGAAACAATCCAACGCTTTCCATTGACTTTGTATTGCCAGAAGCTGCCTCCTTGTCATTTCTGACTTATAACAAAAAACAGAGCAATGCCTAAAAGCTGCTATGTTACAAGGGTAGAGTAAACAAGCTAAAAAACACAGAACTAAGTTTTTATAAGCTGTCGACCCCAAAAAATGAGCGTTTAAGGAAACAAAAGTAGAGCGCAACGTGTTATATTACTCTGAGAACTGCGCCCACTGGAGGGAAACGTAATCGGCGACAAGAACCATTCATTATTTTAACCGTGTCAAAGGATTATTTCACCACCCTATGTGAATCTAAGAGGAGGATATATATTGAGAAACTAAATTTATTGGTCTATGTCAGTACCCCCTTTCCTTACCTTCCTTTAGTTTGAGAAATGATCCAACTGAATGGCCCAACGTGAAATACCCTGACATCTACAACTATTTGTGTCCTTAAACGCTTGTTATTTGGGGTCGACAGCTTATAAAAACGTAGTTCTGTGTTTTTTAGCTTGTTTGCTGTACACCTTGTCACACAGCAGCTTTTAAGCATTGTTCTGTTTTATGTTATAAGTCAGAAATGACAAGGAGGCAGCTTCCCAGAATACAAAGTCAATGGAGAGCATTGGATTGTTTTCCCCCTGGTGTGGGCGTGGCCTAAATGCGCTCTGTCTCTTATCACCTTGCATGATTCATTTAAATACTCTCCTCCCATAAATCTTGCATCTGAACAGGAAACTCCCAATAAAAGAAAAAACACTAAAGTCAACAACAACACATCTTCTCATTGCTAATGTTTCACAGTCTGTCTCTAGTAACCCTGTTGAAAAAAACAGCATATGCTGGTTAGGTTTGTTTTGAAGCATGGCAGCTGGTTTGAGCTGGTTTAAGCTGGTCCTGAGCTGGTTATGAGCTGGTCCTGATCAGGAGCTAGTTGCTTAGGACCAGCGCATGACCAGCTTAAACCAGCTCATAACCAGTTTATAACCAGCTCGGGACCAGCTTAAACCAGCTCAAACCAGCTGCCATCCTTCAAAACATAGCTAACCAGCATATGCTGTTTTTTTTCAACAGGGAAACCCTGACAGTAGTTTTTTAAGAGCAAAAGAGAGTTTGCGCTGGTGCAAACTGTTAGTAAATCCGCTCCTAAGTCTGCTGCGGAGCTCGCCTCAAAACCGGGGTGCTTGTGAGCATTTTTCTGAAACCTAAAATGACAATTGAGACACCCTACAATCTTTACAGACATGTGTACACAGCGTCCATTGTCAGTCCACAAGACTACAACTGCACATGAAGCGTGTCATTGAAATAGGGCCCTTATGAGTTAGTGACTGAATCATTCACTCAACCAATTTGCTTAAAAATGTGCAATCTTTCATTAGTTGCTGGAAGACACCCAATGATTCTGTTGTGAATTTGTTTGGAACTATTTGGCACTATGTGGCAATATTGTGTCTAAAATGTAAGTTGCTCTGATGTTGCTTAATTAAATATATGAGGATCATGGGTTTCAAAGGGTGTAGTTAAAGGGTTAATTCACCCAAAAATGAAAATTAGCCCATAAATTACTCGCCCTCAAGTCATCCTAGGTGTATATGACTTTCTTCTTTCAGACGAATCCAGTCGGAGTTATATTAAAAATTGTCTTGATCTTTCAAGCTGTTTCATGGCACTCAGCGGGTGTTGCATGCATCAGTCCAAAAGCAGTTAAATAAAATGCGCCCATCCATAAAAAAAGTGTCTCACACGGCTCTGGGGGGTGAACAAAGGCCTTCTGTAGCGAATCGATGCATTTTTGTAAGAAAAATATCCATATTCAAAACGTAATAATCACTTTAATGTAGCTTGCGCCAACAGTTGAACATGGAAGCAGTTCCGGGGTAATGACGTATGAGTTCAGCTTTGCGCATGCGCCGCTCAGAAGTGATGAACGCGGAAGCGTAAGGGAGAGATCAAAACAAAATAATGGTCACTAATTAGAAGTACAAAACGAGGATTTGTAAAGAAGAATGTCGGAGGATTTCAATATAAGCCAAGAGGAGACTGGTTTTCCTTTGCTAAAGTAAGGAAACTTTGCTTCCTTTGCTCCTGTTAACAAACGTTGGTTTTCACGAGACTCACCGGCGCATGCGCAGCGCTGAACTCATATGTCATCCACCCGGAACTGCTTCCAGTGTACAACAGTGAGCGCAAGCTAGATTAAAGTGATTATTACGTTTTGAATATGGATATTTTTCTTACAAAAACGCATCGATTCGCTACAGAAGGCCTTTGTTCACCCCCCGGAGCCGTGTGAGGCACTTTTTTTAATATGGATGGGCGCATTTTATTTAACTTCTTTTGGACTGATGCATGCAACACCCACTGAGTGCCATGAAACAGCTTGAAAGATCAAAGACAATTTTTAATATATCTCCGACTGGATTCGTCTGAAAGAAGAAAGTCATATACACCTAGGATGACTTGAGGGTGAGTAATTTATGGGCTAATTTTCATTTTTGGGTGAACTAACCCTTTAAGCAGTAAGGAATGAGATGTCATGCTTTATTGTGAAAAGACATGGCTAGGTGCATATAAATTTTAAAATTGGGCCACATATTTTATACATTATAAAACTGGATTATTGTATGTTATGATTGGCTCAGCCTTATTGAGCATTAGTAATTTTAAGCTCTTGCACATTTCTTTTCTTATAGTTCTTTGTGGTGTTGATGCATATCTGTGAGTCTGGAGGTTTGACACACACTTTAGCTGAATCAGTTTACAAAGATGAAGGTCTTTTCCATTTACCCCCAATATTGATTTCCAGTAGTTTGCTTTGAATATGCAATGAACCATTGGTAGCATTGATTTGTGACTTTTCAGTGACCTCTGAACACATGACCTTGAAAAAGACACGAAGAGTAATTGGAATTGATTGTTAGAAAGACATTAATACCATCATCATAGACTTACTCTTCACCATATAAATCGTTCTGATAAATTTGAAATATTTTGGAAAAAAATTTATATGTCAAGCCATATAAAACCACGTAAAACCAACATGAATACAAAGAGAACATTTCTACAGCCCAGCACATCTTTCAAACTAGGTGTTTAAACATTTTAAACACCTCCTTCCCTTTGTGATTGACATTCTTACAATATGACCCTAAACTGACACATTTGAGTAATTCTGTATCCTATCTGAGCAGAAACATTTATTGAGTTAAATATTTAAATTCAATTATTTTTTTCATATATTAAATCCCCAGAGCCTGAGCATGAGTTATTTCTGGTGTACGGCAAGGGTCGTCCAGGCATTATCCGTGGTATGGACATCAACCCTAAAGTTCAGGATGAATACATGATCCCCATCGAGAACCTGATGAACCCTCGAGCTCTGGACTTCCATGCACAGAGTAACTTCATCTACTTCGCTGATGCCACCAGCTATCTGATTGGCCGACAGAAGATTGACGGCACGGAAAGAGACATCATTCTTAAAGAAGGTGCTGTTTTTTATTTCCAATTCGTCTTATTACTAGTATTATTAGTGTTGTTATGACTTATTCTGTAATTATTCTGACTTATTCTTAATTTTCAGGTATTCACACTGTCGAAGGAATCGCTGTGGATTGGATGGCCAATAATCTTTACTGGACAGATGATGGTCCCAAGAAGACCATCAGTGTTGCTCGGCTCGAGAAAGCTTCTCAGACCAGGAAGACTCTCATTGAGGGCAAGATGACCCATCCTCGAGCTATTGTGGTGGACCCTCGGCACGGGTGAGTTCCTGATCTAGAATAAATAAGGTTAAGTTTTACAGCAGTTGTTGGGTTATTTATAATATCATACAATTTTGTTGCCCAAAATCTACAATTTCAGTATGCACAACCACAAGAGGCTAATTGCTTATAAAAATAAATAAAAAAGCAGCTACAGCAATATGACACAAGACACTATTGCTAAAGCAACAATTAAATTTATAAACAAGGATCTTCCAAATGTTGAATATTTTTTCCCTCTTTTAGCTGGATGTACTGGACTGACTGGGAGGAGGACCCAAAAGAGAGCAAGCGAGGGAAGATTGAGAAGGCCTGGATGGATGGAACCAACCGGAACGTTCTGTTGACGTCTAAGACGGTTCTGTGGCCCAACGGCCTGAGTCTGGACATCCCTCAGGGCATCCTGTACTGGGTGGATGCTTATTACGACCGAATCGAGATGGTCTATCTCAACACCACTGCACGCAAGGTGCTCTCACACTGCTGATCTAATAGATTCTATTTATATGAGAACATATGTTTGCATTTAAGAATGGAAAACAAGAGATAACAGCTGAAAACACTAGAACAGTCAATTTACTCATCAGTTGTTAATTACGTAATACCGTATTCTTTCTTCTTAGACGGTTTATGATGGACAAGAGCTGAACCACGCCTTTGGCCTGTGCCACTACAAACACTTCCTGTTCTGGAACGAGTACCGCAGCGGCAGCATCTATAAACTGGACCAGAACACCAAAACAGTCACTTTGCTACGCAACGAACGGCCACCCATCTTTGAGATCCGCATGTATGATGCCCAACAGCAGCTAGGTAATTTTATAATGTTTTTTGTAGAATGCCAATGCAAGACAAAATTTCCTAGTAGGAATCCAGGCAGTTTGGCTGTTGAATGTTAATCAGACGTTATCCCTACATGTGTTCATCACAGGAAGTAATGCGTGTAGAGCCAATAACGGCGGCTGTAGTAGTCTGTGTTTGGCCACTCCCACAGGCAGGTCATGTGCCTGCGCTGAGGACCAATTACTGGACCCCGCAGACAACACCAGCTGTAAAGGTAACGTACACTAGCAAAATATCCCACCACTCACTGGTGCACCCAGGTCGCACACAAAATCGCCATTCAGTGTAAGGTCTACAATGCTGTAGCCCTTTTATCTTTAAAGCCAGCATTATGAAAGTGGACAGGATTCACAATGATGGGCCGCTCTCTTGGTTGTTTTGGTGACTAAACATGCATCTTTGTTTTAGAAAAACTCATTTTTCACACTACAACACAAAAACAGTGTCTTCAGATTTATTAACTAGGATGACCTTCATAAATGCATTTCCAAATTGAAAGATTCAAATTTTTACAACATGATTATTGTGACCTGAATAATCACAATAAGAACATTATTGTGATATCTATAGAAGTTTTGAAAAAAAAAATGCTATGCTATCAGTCAAATTCCTCTTGAACTTTATTTTGCATTGTTTTGGCCAATGAATCACCCAAAATATGATTGTAGGGAGGCAGAGAGAGAATTGTAACCATAATTGTACAAAAACATAAAAAAGTACTCTTAAACACAACTTCTTGCAGACTTGGGTGTTTAACAACCCATCTTTTTTGAAGTCTCTCATCTTCTGACATGCGTGGCAGTAGTAGCCACACACTGCGTCTTCTTCTTCTACTTGTTCTTCTCCGTTTTATGACAGGTAGCAAACAATATTTTAGTACTATTATACTAAATATATGTACCTATATATGTACCACCTAATATGCTGGAAGACAAGCAGTGGTCCTGGATTAATTACGATATTATCATATGAGTAGTATTAACATGTTATCAGTGTTTCATTTTTTAAACATGTTGCAACACTTCTAATTTAGGTGTCAAAGGTGATTAACTATGGTGGTTTGGATGTAACTTTGTACAATGAATGGTTAAAAATGGCTTTTAAGGATTGGTTCACAAGAGGATTAACTACTGCTGAGGAAATCACATGGTAGAAACCTCCATTTAGAGTGACCCAGGTGAGAAATGTGAGGAATACAGTGGGATAAGAGTTCATTCAGTCCTGACAGAGAACAAAGCAAGAAACGCTTGCTGAGCTGAAGCAAATCTGTTTGTGCCTGCCAGCTGCTCGAGCATACTGGCAGATAATGCATCATTTCTAGGGTTTATCTTGTGACTGACTGGTGATACAATCAGCTGAATTGAACATCAAGCGGTTTGGTTTCTGTATCTGAATATTTGAAACAGAAACTCTTCAGATGTTTCTTTTTACAGAGCTTGGCTTTCAGCAGACTTATTTACATTTCATGTGTGTGTGTTTCTCCACAGCCAACCCGTCTTACATTCCCCCTCCGCAGTGTCAGCCGGGAGAGTTCGCCTGTAAGAATAACCGCTGTATTCAAGACCGCTGGAAATGCGACGGAGATAATGACTGTCTGGACAACAGCGACGAGACGGCTGAACTGTGCCGTAAGAACACACTCACGTTTAACTTAAAACTCCCTCCTTGTGTCGAGCTACCAAACACATGCAGTGCTTGTTGTTTGTCCATCTGTAGATCAGCACACATGCCCTGCAGACCGCTTTAAGTGTCAAAATAACCGCTGTATCCCAATGCGTTGGCTGTGTGATGGAGACAACGACTGCGGCAATGATGAAGATGAGTCTAACACCACATGCTCAGGTACGCACAGTAATCTGAATTTTCAGCACTATGACATTATTCACACAAAGTCCAAAGATTCAGTCTGTTTTGATTGTATTTTGGCAACTTTGATGTAAATAAGTGTGTCTGTAGTGTGCTTTGCCCTGTGGACTTTAAAAAATAACCTATTTTAAAATGTACTTAATTTGACCACTGAAATGCCCAGAATTGACCTTTTTTATATAAATCATGAAAATGTCATATATAATGTCATGACTATCCCAAATGAAGGGCTGGGATTCGATTCCTAAAAGAATGAATTTCTAATTTCTGAGTCATTGGGAACTGACAATAGACTGACACATATTAATTAGCCTATGCCTTGGAGAAGTTTCCTACAATTAAGTAAACTCTCATAAACTCCACAGTGGAAGGTTTTGAGCGTCGCTCCAGAATGCATGAAGAGATAATAGGTGCAGATTAATAACAATCAATGAATACTAAGGAAGTTCAGAAAGAGGTAAGCCATTATATCATGTAGTTACAAGATTGGAGGTGAACATGTTTCATCCAATTAAAAAAAAATAAAAAATCGAAAACAACAGTTTGGAATTGATTCCTATGTCAGTTCCAAGACCAGGAATCAGAATCTAGCCATACTACCTGATGAGAAATGCCTTTTTACAGTGTGTCCTAAGTGGGCAAGTCTTTTGTCAGTTCACACTGCAATCAAAAACCAGAACATTTACTGTGTAATATACAATTGTAACGGGGCGAACGAGACGAGAGGCGTGCGGATCCATATGCAAGCTTTTATTCATAGACATGGTCAAAACACAGGCAGGGTCGAATACCAGCAAACAGGTATGGTATGGGCAAGACACACGAGTAGTCCAGTAAACAGACGGGGGTCGATCAGCGGCGAACGTGATCCAGGGGACAAGGCAAACGGGTAATCCAACAGACAGGCGATAATTCCAGGGCAGGCAGAGATCAGACAGGATGAGGTAAACCAGGCTAGAATCAAGACACAGGTTAAACAGGACTGACTGGACCTAAACTCCGGAAACACGGAATGGCTCCGTAAAGTTGCTATCACTAGGAGAGTAATAAACACAGACAATACTCGGCGATCCGAAAGAGGAAGTCCAAGGCTTATAAAGTGTGTTTGATTGGTTGCAGCTGTGTGTGTGTGTAATCAGTGCAATGGATGATGGGAACTGTAGTCCGGAGTGACATGCAACAGTCTGTGTAGTGTGAGAGTCAATGTAACGGAAAAGTGACCTCTGGTGGCAAGCAGACGGAAAACCATGAACCGGATTTGTGACAACAATTAGCTGGAGTTGGACCAATGAAGTTTCACAATGGCCAAAGCTTTCCTGCACGATACAATGGAAATAAAAACCTAGTCACCCAAGAAATGCTTCTTTTGTAGTGCACTTTAATCGCGCACACACACACACACACACACACACAAAGGTCCAACAAATTTTGTCCATCTCAGATATGGAGTGTCTATGTTTAAATCTACATTAATCACACATTTGATAATTGGAACTTCAGTTCTGTCATGACAACTCTCGGAGGGATTGGCATGGTAATGTACATGACAATGTTTTGTATTTGTACAAATGTATTTGGTCTTGGCAGAATAGATCTGCTACGCTGCTGCTGCCACAGAGCAAGTACCGAGACTTTCTACTGCCAATACATCCACAACATGCTGCTGTGAGCATGTAAGAAATATTGCTGCTGTTAATGTAGCAGATCTATACAGGTGGAGCTGGGGAAGGTGGAGGGTTTCTGAAGCAAGCTGCAACTGCTATGGCAAGCACTAGTCATAAATTTGAATGTTGAGCAGCGAGCTCATTGGCTACCGATACAGGAGAGAACCAATCAGCTGTGCCATGTGATGATGTCATTAGGTCAGATTGAGTTAGTCCTATCGGACTGCGCCATCTAGAGTTTCATGCCAGAACTCTGTATTTGTCATCTTCATATCATACAAATGCCACCTGGAAGGCCAGCTGAAAATTTGGCTGGTTTGAGTTGTGATGTTCTGTCATGACCTTCTCCTAAACTCTGAGTCAGCTGAAATATTCTCTAGACAGCCATACATAAATATAGAGTTTATCTCACATGGTATATCTGACGCAGTTCTGGGCTCTTCGTCAAAGTGTTGTGCTATATTTTACTTCATGGCTGAATTGTATGGTTTGCACTCTTTAATTAGACTGCATCTATTTTAAGGATATGGCTGACTATGATGCTGCATTTGCAAGTAATTCTAGACTGCAATAGAGCCATTGCATAAAAATATAAATTTAGATAAAATGTCAGAATTAACTGGGAAACTGAGTTTGGAAATAAAATGAAATGGTTTGAAAACACAGTTTTCTTTTCTGTGCGGACATATTTGTAACATTCAAGTGCAATATTTATATTGCAGTCTTGAAAATTCTCTGAATTATTTTAACATGTTAATGGACATGAAACTGTTAATGTATTTGGGCTTGGTGATCTAGTTCTACTACACACTGCATGAATAGGCATGACAGGCATATGTACATCACATAGCAGATCTAGACAGGTGGAGCTGGGGGAGGTGGAGGTTTTCAGAAGAATGCTTAAGGAACAGCTTACAGCAAACATTGAATTTAAATAAGGGGGCGTCCAATCGTGCTTCAGCAGATTGTAGCTCCAGCCGGCTCCAACACCCTTGCCTAGAAGTTTCTAGTGAGTCCAAAGGACTTGATTAGCTGGTTCATGTGTGTTTAATTAGGGTTGGAGCTAACCGCTGCAGGACAGAGACTCTCCAGGAGAGGCCAATCAGCTTGTGCCATGTAAATTCAGTTAGGTTTATTTTAAAAACAGTTTATACTTACAAACATTCACAACTGTAATAATCCAGTGAGATTTTTGTAAGCATTTTTTTCATAAAAACTCCAAGCTACATATGTTAAAGGGGTCATATGATGCGATTTCAAGTTTTCCTTTCTCTTTGGAGTGTTACAAGCTCTTGGTGCATAAAGAAGATCTGTAAAGTTGCAAAGACTAAAGTCTCAAATCCAAAGAGATATTCTTTATAAAAGTTAAGAGTCAACCACGCCTACCTAAAACGGCTCGTTCTAACACGCCCCCACATGTCTACCTTACTATGTGGAAATATTAGCATAATGTCACCCAAATGTGCACGCAAAGAAAGAAGGCGTGGTTTCAGGAACAACAGTAGTGTTGATGCAGCATGTCAGCACGTCAGCTGTCTTAACCGCGGCTTGTGTACTGCATCATCACTGTGTCTGTCATGCGACTCTGTTGCCCTTTCGGAGTTTATTTATTTATTTTTTTTTACTGATGGTAAAACTAAGGATATTATTAACTGTCTTGATATTTACTTTGAAAGCTGATGCTCGCGATTATGGTAAGGGGCGTTACATTTCCGACGCGTGCTTGTGGTGTTCGGCCAATCACAATGCACTGGGTCAGCTGGCCAATCAGAGCAGACTGCGCTTGTCAAAGGAGGGGGCTTTGTTGAAAACGACGTGTTTGAGAGAGGCGGGGCATAGAGGACCTACAATAATGTACAGTATTTGAAAAATAATGTTTTTTTTAACATTAAAGCATGTCAACATATTCTGTTACACCAAATACACAAAATAATGATCTTTAAAATAGCATCATATGACCCCTTTAAGAGCTCTACAAAATGAATATGCCATGGCAGATATATTGAAGATGAACTCTTTCCACAGAAAAGCAGTGGGAAATGGATTCAAATTCTAGGAAGAAAAGGACTATAAATTTTTCATGTGTCTATCTTTTAAACTTGAAAAAAAAAGAATATTTTACTGGCATACAGATGGCCACACACATTTAGATTTGAGAGTTTTGGTTCTCTGTTGCAGCTCGGACGTGTCCGCCCAATCAGTACTCGTGCGCCAGTGGCCGCTGTATTCCCATCTCCTGGAAATGTGACCTGGATGATGACTGTGGGGACCGCTCCGATGAGCCTGCATCCTGCGGTAAATTATGCCCCTTTATGCTGATGCCAGCATATTAATATTAATAAATTCGGCCATTAGTATGCATGTGATACTTTTAGAAAAACTAGTTCAGTGCAAGTTTTGTCAGTTTCAGCAACTGGTTGATTCATTTTATGAATTTATTCATTTTATGCATTTGCATTTTGTAAATGTCATCGACATTTAGAATTACATCTATTTTGTTTATCAGTGTAATGGCTTATGTTGCAAGAAAGCTTCCTATTATCACTATTAATACTATTATTATTATCATTGCCATTTTATTTACTACAGCTCTTATATTACTACTGCTATTTCTTTGTGTAAAACTCATACTGATGAGGAAACTGAGGAAATGTAAATAATCTAAAACGATGATATGACCCTTTGTGAACTGAACCTTGTAAAGCATAAAGTCACTAAGTCATACTTGTATTATATACATGCAACATGCAACAAAAACTTGCACTTGAAATACTTTTATGTTGCATTTAATTATTCTTTAATTATGCATTTAATTAATTCTTTAATTATGCATTCTTTATTATGCTTTTGGTTATATGGGATGAGTATTGGTTAATGTTATGTTTTTATTGATTATTTATGATGATGTTTGTGTCGTCAGCATACCCAACCTGTTTCCCGCTCACTCAGTTCACCTGCAATAACGGACGCTGTATCAACATCAACTGGCGCTGTGATAACGGTGAGCTGCTGACATGATTTCATCTCTTTTGTTTTTTGTGTCTGTTGCACTTTTTCAACAGATTTCCCTCATTTGTCTTTGTTGATCATTTCATGTGTCTTTTGTGTAACGTCATGTCCTCTTCTCTTGACCATTTGCCCCTCCCCCTGTGTCACATGGGCTGTGTGTTGCAGAAAAGGATTGTGGGGACAGCTCTGATGAGTTCAATTGTCCGAGCAAGACCGGTTAGTGCATAGATCAACATGCACCATAAATTTACTTGTGTTATAACACTATAATAAGGTCTGAACAGGATTTTCAAACACATGTAAGGCTGTGGAAAATATCTGCAGCAATTCATTATTTCTAAAACATGTCTTACATTATGGAAAAATCCTGCCCCACAATAGTAAAAAAATAAATAATAATAATAATAAAAATAAATATAAATAAGTAAATAAGCAAGCAAGCCGCTGGCCATCTCACTTTAACTAACACCTCTAGTAACATCCATAAGAAGAGATTAGCATTAAATATTAACCAGTGTTCATTTCCAGTGGTGCATGTGTGATCTATGCAGTTTCTGTGATGTTTATTATTCATTTTCTATTGTTGCAAATTGTTAACTGTGAAATCTGTTTCTAAAGACAAGATGCCACATTTACTACATTGTATTGATGTGAAATACTAATATTTCAGCCTATATTTTACTTGTTTGTATATTTGTTTTATAAATGGTTTGTATTAAATCATAGCCTGTAGCTCACATGGACATGTTCCATGTTGGCCAAGCATATCTGGGAAAAAATTTTCCCAGCATGGCTGCTACTTTTATGTTAGTAAAGTATTAAAAGTAGCCTATAACGTTCTTTTCGAATGATTGAAGTTTTTTAGTTTCAGTCAAAAGTTTGGACACACCTTTTCTATATCTTTGCTATTATAAAGTATATTTACTTTATTAAAGTATGTTAAAGATCATTTGAACAACACAATTTTCAATATGGGAATTATGTAGTGACCAAAAACAATTCCAAACGATCTTATATTACATCTCTAAAAAATCTGTTTATTCTCTTAACTTTGTGAGGCACATTCTGGGATGCATTTAAACAATATAGGGATCACAAGTATTTGTCTGCAAAACTAAATTCAATGAAAATTCTTTATGTCAACAAGTTTATTGTGATCATAAGAAACATAACTTTAGTCAAGCGTGTTCAAACCTTTGGCTGACGATGTACTTTAAAGCATGGCTTACTTTATATTTTTGGATGATGATAGCATATATTTGGCAATTTAACCTCTTGCAGACAATGACTGTGGTGACAACAGTGATGAAGCCGGCTGCAGTCATTCATGTTCCAGCGCTCAGTTTAAATGTAACAGCGGTCGCTGTATACCCGACTACTGGACCTGTGACGGAGACAACGACTGTGGTGACTACAGCGACGAGACCCATGCCAACTGCACTAACCAGGGTGAGTTCATGACACTATTTCTTGCCACACAATGCCAAACTAGACAACAAACTTGTGCTGCCTTCTTTTGGACTAATTCTCAGGCGGCATCAATGTGTTGAAATAGGAATGGAAAACATTATGAAAGCTCTTAGATGTTTAAGCATCACCTGCTTTTGGTTCAATTGCCAGGAAGAGAGAGCTACACCAAACTCCCAGCACACTATTTAGAAAGAGTCATCTCTCATAAAGTAACTCCAGGCACAAAAAAATATACACCGAGAGGCTGATGATGACTGTGAATGAGCTACAGAATTAATTGACTGAAGAGCAGTGGTGGAAAGAGTACTGAAAAAATATACTCAAGTAAAAGTACCATTACCTTCCAAAAAATGTAGTGCGAGTAGAGTAAAAGTAGTTGTCCAAAAATGTAGTGCGAGTAGAGTATTATCCATTGTCCAAAAAACTACTTGAGTAAGAGTAAAAGAGTAGTCTATTTAAAAGTACTCATGAGTAGTGAGTACTGAGCTATGGATTCTACCCACGTATAATAAACGCTGTACACCGCAATTTATACATTTTAAAAACGTTGTACATTCTGTAATTCACATTATCTTAGTAATGTGTATCTATCATCCAGCAGTTTTAATTTTGACTGCCAACTCTTTAAAATACATCAAAACAGCACGGAAACAGTATTCAGTTGAAGAAAAGATGAAAGTTATTCTCAGTACAATCATCCCCATTTAAATCATAAAGTTTGAAAAAATAGATTTAAAATCATATGTAAGGCCACTGAGACAGCATATGCTGTTGTTGCACATAAAATATTAATGTTTAGAACAGTGCAAATACAAACACCATTAGAAACTCATAGTTCAGCATCACAGTGATCACACACCGTGATATGGTTTAAAATGAGAGCCCATTTCTCTCCAAAACGGTCCCAGTTTTAGCGTTTTGCAGTAAAGAAATAAAAATAACTAAACTTGATAATTTATGTTACAATTTTAACATAAATGCACATTGTTCTAGAACAGTTGTTCTCAACCTTTTTTTCCACTGGGCCGCACTGTGGTCCAAGTGCAAGTCTCACGGGCCGCACGCATATAATTTACATATTATGTCACCAATACAAACCAACCAGGTTTATAATAGCCTATTATTCACACCAAATTTCAGGCCGTGTAGATAGGCAAGCATATATACAAATCATTTAGTAAGCAGAAATCCGAAATTTACCTTAACATATTAAGTTAGATGAAGATGCGACTGAATTGATGCTTGAAGAATGCGCTTCCAGCAGCCATGATAAACAGTTGGCGGTTAAAGTTTTCTATGCACAATTTGATTTGACGAAAGTCACGAGACCTATTACTCTCTATCCAATCACGTTGATGGATAAAAATAAAATTAAAATAAGCATGTAACGACCACAAACGGAGGAAAATAGCGGAGTAAAAGTACCGATACATCACTTAAAATGTACTCAAGTAAAAGTAAAAGTACACAATTTTTAAACTACTCAAAAAAGTACAATTACTGATAAAAACTACTTAATTACTGTAACGTGAGTATTTGTAATTCGTTACTTCACACCCCTGCTGAAGAGTTCATTAGTTAACCAAACCTCATCATAACTAACCTGAGTGCTGGTTAACACTGGCCTTTATAGGAGCATGGCTTTAAAGAAGTAATCACTCAAAAAGTACCACACAAAGGTATATCTTGAGTTTGACCTGAGGCATAATTGTGACTCATTTGTCTAAAATGCCATTTATGGGAAAAGATTGATTGATTGATTGATTGATGGATGGATTTCTATCTATCTATCTAGCCATCTAGCTATCTATCTATCTACCGCTCTCTCTCTCTGTCTGTCTGTCTGTCTATTTATTTATTTATTTATTTTGGTCAGATGATACCAAGAAGCTTTGCACCAAAATTTAACCTTACAAAAATTAACCATGGTTTTACTACAAATAAAACCAAAAAAATATATAGTTTCTGTAGTTAAACCATGGTAACCACAAATTAACCATGATTTTGCTACACTAACCAGAGTTTAACCATATATTTGTTATTTGCAGTAAAACTGTGGTTATATACAAATGGTAATCAATCCGCTAAAAAAAACATGGCTACTACACTTTTACTATAATAAAACCATAGTTAATTTTCATAAGGGAGAATTTATTGTGTAAGAACCTTATTCATTCTTCTTTCATTGGACAGTCATCCAAATACAAAAAATCTAAAATATGCAGTGTTATGTGTGCTTCAGGACCAGATTTATGAAACTGCGTTATCTCACCATATACCTCTTAGGCTTTGATATAGTGCTGCTCTTTGTAAGTCATGGTGTGACGTTTCTACTATTATCACACGTCACATGTATTCATATACACCACAAATATTTTTACCCAAATATAGACTTCTCTCTCTCATGGGGATAAACGTCTTTGCCATTGGCTTGGTTAGCTCCAGAGTCAGATATGAGCCACATTACAGGGCGATGATGAATTTTAAAAAAGGATTAGTACAAACAAATCCCACTTCACACAACCACCACAATAACAGTTTTATTTGCCTTTAGAGAACTCGCAGTGTTTACGTTTATTAATTTAGGAGATACTTTTATCCAAAATGACTTACAAATAAAGAATATAACTATGCAAGTGATGCATCCTAAGGAGACAGTAACACGAGAAGTCACACAATACATGTATTAAATTGTATCAATAAAGTTCCAGACATTGTAGAACTCAAATCTTACCGTGATACTGTGATTATGAAATTTTACCCCAAATTTCATAGCTCACTTCTTGTTGTTGCAGTTATGTTGTGTTGAATTGCTAGCTAGCTGGGAAGACGAGGGGCTCTGTCTTCACAAAGTTGGAGATTTAAATGGCATTCAAACTAGAGCTGTTTGTCATTGGTGTAGTACTGCTAGGAAAATCAGTTTGGCTGAATAGGTCCTTGTGATGTGGTGTGTATTGATAAAAGGAGAGGGCCAAGCACCGAACCCTGAGGTACACCCATGGTTTTTCATATGATTTAAACACTCCTTCTCTATAGGTTAAGCTACGCTATCTGGGATCTTTTGCAGAGTGTAAACTGTTACCAAGTATCTTGTATGAAAATTATGAACCTATGGATTGTGTAGTTGTTTATACTACATATTGCCATACAATCTCTGTTTAATTCCTCTTTTTTTCTCTCCACAGCAACCCGTCCTCCCGGTGGCTGTCACACAGATGAGTTCCAGTGTCGTGTGGACGGGTTGTGTATTCCCCTCCGATGGCGGTGTGATGGAGACACTGACTGCATGGATCTGAGCGATGAGAAGAACTGCGAGGGTGTAACACACATGTGTGATCCAGCAGTAAAGTTTGGCTGCAGGGATTCTGGTAATGTTGAAGAAATTATACATTATATCTTCTCAATTTAATGGTCTGATGTTCTCAGAACAATCAGAAAACGAATTCTGTCTTATCTTGAGATTCAGTGATCCATAAGTAGACTGAGTTTACGAGTGAATGGGTCATAATCATTACAATCTTGGTAATTTTTTTTCAGAATTAAATGCAAAATATCTCAGTAAACAAGTGAGGTGAGGCAATAATAAAACATTCTTATAAAATGTCCTCTCTCTTTTAATGATTTAGGAGAGATGTAATGTTTGTTTTCTTTTTTTAAGATGTTGTGTTTGTTATTGTATGTGTTTGTTTTTTTTGAATGCATTGTACAGCACTTTGGGCTGCTTTGAAGGCAGTAGAAATGTGCTATATAAGAAAATAAAATAAAATAAACTAATGCATTCTTTGGTTTTCAGTTTATAATAGAAGTTTATTCAGATGTTTTATTTACTTATTTTTTTAATCTAAATAATTGACCGAATCAGTTAGGTCATCACTCAAAATTGCTTCAACATTTATTTATTTATTTAAATAAAAAGAATGATTCACCTTATAATGTATGAAGATGAGATCTTTCCCAGATTTCATTGTTCACATGATCACAAGGTCTTCATTGTAATTCGCTACTTTTGTCAGTTATCATGTTAACAGACATATTTTTTGTGTGTTTGTTATGTAGCGCGGTGTATCAGTAAGGCTTGGGTATGTGATGGTGACAGCGATTGTGAAGATAACTCTGATGAAGATAACTGTGAGGCGCTGGTGTGTAAACTCTCCCATCACGTGTGTGCTAATGACACCAGCATTTGTCTGCCCGCTGAGAAACTGTGTGATGGCAAAGACGACTGTCCTGATGGTTCCGATGAGAAACTCTGTGGTAAGATTCATCACTGTTACATGAGGCTCAGTGCAGCCTGAGATGATGTTCATTGAGTGCAGACTGAAACTCACACTAGCAGGACACGGATGAAGTACATAATTACTGGTGCCTGATACTGTTATCGATGTTTTTAAAAGCTGCATTGTCGATTACACAAAATTCTAGTAAAGTTATAATTGATGGAAATAAAGCATTTTCTGTTCATAGTTTTATGAATTTATATTATTAAACATATCTTATTATAATTAAATATTAATTGTATAATTGGTACTGTAAGTATACTGTAAGTAAAAAAAAAGCATTGCTTTATAGACCTGGTTATACGTCTAACTTAGGAATAGTATATTTATAAAGAATAATTGCTGAAAATGTCCTCACACTCAGGCCATCCAAAATGTAAATTAATTTGTTTCTTCAGAATTGGAGAATTTATCATTCCATCACTTGCTCAGCATTGGATCCTCTGCAGTGAATGGGTGCCATCAGAATGAGAGTCCAAACAGTTGATGAAAACATCACAAAAATCCACAAGTGATCCACACTACTCCAGTCTATCAATTAACATCTTGTGAAGTGATGTAGCAAGTGATGTAAGGCTAAATTTCTCCAAATGTGTTCTCATGAACTAGGGCTGTAATCACCATAGACACTAGGGGCTGGGGACAATTCCTGTAAATTAGAAATGGCCAATATGCCAAACTGGAAGCTGCAAAACATTTAATAGAAGTCAACTGTTATACGATAGAAATGTTAAATGATTGACAGCTATATTCAGTGATGCAACTGCTTGATTTTTTCTAAAATATGGCAATTTACAGATAGAGAGAGACAGACAGAAAGAGTTGCATGTGTGAATTACCTGCGTCTGTGTCTCTCTCTCTACAAACAATGAAGCTGTGAGTTTAGTTACTTCAAAAACAGCTATATGCCCTTGTTGCTGAGAAATATAATGTAGTGATTGAGTATCGAAGCTATTTTATTAATAAAAGTCGCAAGGCAGCGGTGACAAGTTGCTGTGCTCCTGAATGTTTCTGTTTCTGCACAGTGCGATCTCTGATCTCTGTGTGTGTGCGTCAACGAATACAGCTCATTATTATCATTACAGTGATTAAACTGCGGCCTTGCCATGAACAAACAAACTCATCTACATTTTGAGTGGCCCGCAGTTGAGTGAATTAATTAATTAATTATTAATTAGGGGGGGGGGGGGGTACCATTTATTTGAATTAATTATCGATCGATCGAGAGGGGGGGGCTGGGGCGTGTTAGTTGTGTGTGTGAATTACCTGCCTCTGTGCGTCTCTCTCTACAAACAATGAAGCTGTGAGTTTAGTTACTTCAAAAACAGCTATATGCCCTTGTTGCTGAGAAATATAATGTAGTGATTGAGTATCGAAGCTATTTTATTAATAAAAGTCGCAAGGCAGCGGTGACAAGTTGCTGTGCTCCTGAATGTTTCTGTTTCTGCACAGTGCGATCTCTGATCTCTGTGTGTGTGCGTCAACGAATACAGCTCATTATTATCATTACAGTGATTAAACTGCGGCCTTGCCATGAACAAACAAACTCATCTACATTTTGAGTGGCCCGCAGTTGAGTGAATTAATTAATTAATTATT